TCTGGGGGCCTCGGCTGTAGGCATAGCAAACGCGACTCTTTCCCTTTGATGGGGCGTTACTACTCCCGCGGCTGCCGCCGCGTCCATCATGTTTCTTTGAGCGGCCTTGCTTGCCACCTTTGTTGTCGCCTTTGCCCTTGCCCCTGTCTTTCTTGTCGTTCATACCTTTGCCCCTTGACTCAGATCTGCCCCCTCTGCTCTTCCCAGCCGCACCTCCACTGGAGGGGCCTGGTGTAGCCACCTGAGTTTTACCTCTTTTCTGCTGGGATGCGGGCGCAGCCTTCTTGGGGCGCAAGTACATGCAATCTTGTCGGCTCAGGGGGCATTGCCCCTTTTGCCAGCGTCGGCAGATGACGGACTTCTTGAGCCCCCCATCTTTCATGGTAAGGGAGTCCTTGTTCCCCCCACCCGTCTTCTCGCCACTGGGTTTCACCCCGTCGCCTGTTGATCTGCTGTTTTTGGATCCTCCTAGCATTCTCTCCCCGGTCCTTCAGCGTCTGGTCTGCGATTCCCCCCAGCAACCATTCATGCGACTTCATGCCCCTTCCGTACTTGTCGTCACTGTTGCCACACGTTGCAAGAATCATCGTCACGCAAGGGCACTTGTTCATCTGCTTGTAGAAATGGCTCTGTATAGAGGGCCTGAAGGACTTGTGGGGTTTCTCCATCTCCAGCGTCACCCTCATCCATTCATCGTAGGACTGGTAGGGGTCGCGATCTGCCTCTTTGCCTTCCCCTTTGATCTGGATGGCCATGAGGTCCTCGTAGGTATACACCTGACCATGATCTTCGCGAGTAGTGACATGGGTTTGAATCGTGCGAAGGATCGATCTTCCTGAGGGTAATCCCCCTTCCTTCATTAGGGCAGAGTCAGCGAGATCAACCTCGTTGGCAAGGTGCCTTAAGGCATGAGGAGCATTTGGATCCCTTTGAATCTTATTAATCTTTGCGATGGGATTCGCAGCTATCCGCATGTCCAGGTTCCCGAAATATGGCCCTGGGTTTTTCAGAGCCTTTGCCTTAACCTGTTTAGGCTCGATTAGGCTCGAATGCCTCGGCAACCCAGTTTGTCGCCAACACGCGATTTTGCTGCGAGCTCGATGCCGCCGCTCGAACGACAGATTTCTTCCACATACGGAAGGGCACCGCGTCTGGCAGCAGATCCAGAGTTATCTTGTCGATTCGATCTGCCGCAACCCACGGTGTCACCACAGGTGCTAGCCCGCCGGAGTCCGGGAGCCCTGGGCCCCTGCCTCCTCCTGGAGGTCCTGGGGGCGGTGGTCCCCCACCCCCCGGATCGCCTTGCCCAGCTCTCTGGGCATCGGCGCATCGTCTGACTCTACGGTTCGCTGCATCCTCATCTTCTTCCTCGGAGGTTTCACCATCCTCGTCGTCGGAATCTCCTTCCTCGGAGTCCTCCTCTTCGGAGTCGTCTTCATCATCGGAATCATCTTCGCCGTCATCATCGCCGTCGCCGCGATCATCGGGGTTGCCGCCCCCAGGCGCGCGACCGGACCCACCCTTCTTCTTCCCCGGCCCGTCTCCGTCACCGTGGGCATTACCCTGGCGTAGGGGCTGAACGCCATCCCCTGCGAGGTCCCCCGCAGCGGCCGCGGTTATCTTCGGCCGGGCTGGCGTAGTGCATCCAGTGAAAGTGCTGACAGGCGGTCCGTTCGGTTTCTTTTTCTTCCTTTCTTCCTTCTGTATGGCTGTCTTTGTCGCGGGCCTTGGCAGCGGCAATCTCTGATTATTTCAGCATTGCCTCCGCCTTTTGGCGCGTCTCCTCAGCCTGCGCTTGCGCTGCTTTCTCCAGCGCGTGCGCACGCTGTTCGGCTTTCTCTTCGAGCTCGTGAATGCGTCGAAAGGCTACTGCCTCTTCATTGGCCCTTAGCTTGTCACTGGACTGCTTGGCTTCTTCCTCTTCTTGCATCCTTTTCTTCGCCATGGCTTCCTCCTCTTCGCGCTGCCCTCTCAGCGCTGTCTCATGGTCTCGCGCGCGACCAGACTCACACTGCGCATGCCGCCCCATGATCCAATCAAAGTGTCGTTCACAAAACTGCCCCTGGCATCTTTCGCATGCGCGCGGGGCATCGGCCACGCGACATGTAAAACACCTGGTCGCATCCGACGCGGCCGGCCTGGATCGCGAATCCCCCCGCCGGGACATCGCCCCAGTGACGGGGCGGACCCGTGTCGCCGATGCGGAGACGGCCCCCCTCACCGTGCTTGTCGCACCTTGGAGCCCTTCCTGCGCCATCTGTATGGCCTGTTGTCTGTAGGACAGTTCACGACGTGCTTCCCAATTCCTGCACATTTGAAACAGCTTCTCTGTGGAGACGCTGCTTTGTCTCCTCAACTCCGGCTTGAGCTTGCATTTCAGCTCTCCGCAGTGCCTGCGCTGCCTCTTCTGCCTCAGCTTTCGCGTTTGCATGGCCTGCCTGGGAAGTTGCCGCAGCTGTCTGGGCGTTATGCTGCAGCGATCTCAACTCTGTCGCCTTTCGCAGGGCCGCCTCGTGCTCTGCGAGGGCTTCTGTCCTGACTCGGATCAATGCTTCGGCTTCTCCGCATGCCTCCCCACGAACCGCCTTAGCTGAATCAGAAACTCGCTGGAGCTCGGCTTGCACATCGGCTGCTCCCCTCTGTGCGTTCCTGGCTTCGTTCTCCAGCTGTTGCTGTTTTGCCTGGGCTTCCAGTAGGGCCAAATCTGCTGCCCTCCTCGCCTCAACAGCGTTATGTTCCAACCGGCGCCTCTCGGCGATAGACTTGGCTGCGATCTGTTCCGCCTCGGAAACAGACCGTTCCTGCGCCACGGTTGCCTCTCGGAGCTTGGCGCGAACCTGTTCCTCGAACTTCGCTTCTCGGCCCTGCGCTCCACGGAGTGCTTGCCCGGCCAGTTCCGCGACAGCCTGTTCGGCCCTTTTCTGCTCCTTGGCCTCGTTATCTGCTTTTAATGCAGCCTCGCATCCTTCTGCTCCTTTTCCCTCGTGAGAATTGCATTAAGTCTCATGTTCGGCCTGCTGTGCCGCATGTTCATTATGTGCTCTCTGCCTTGCTTCCATGTCTGCCATCATTGTGCGCGTGGCCGCTATTTCGGAAACGCGCCCCTGTTCAAGTTGGCTTTGCCTCGTTTCCTGTCGCAGCTCCCGCTCGCGGCGTTTATGCGCAAAGCAGTGGCGTTGCACCGGCGGCAGACATTCCTGGCACAGATACGCAAGATTGCACAGGTCACATTGGACAGAACACCCCCGGCACGCGGGCTTCTGGCATGGCCGATCATCGGCAGTCCTGCCCGGGCACCGACTCTCGGGGCCCGGCTCGCACGCCTGCCCGTGGTTCGCACATGACTCCCTAATTAAGAATCGAGGCGTTGGATCCCCGTGAATTGCGACTTCGGCCGCCCTTTCCCGACCTCGACCTCCTGGAAATCGAGCCAGGTGACTCGAATAATTGCCTTCCACGGGGTTTCAGATCAGGGACTGGCTCGGGGTCTTCTTGACCGCTCGAGCCGCCAAGCTCGGTCTTTGGGAGCTTTTCGCACGGAGATTGTTTAACGTCCACCGGGTCATCCCTGGGGATTTTTCCGTGACGAGTCTCTATCCCAGGCCCCCCGGACGAGGCCTCGAGGTCATTTTGACGGTCGACGCTGTCGCGCGGGCTCTGTGACTTCCCCTTTCTCTGGACATAGTCCGTATCCCGTTTCTCCGGGGCCCGATCGGATACCGATCCTAAGCTCTTCTCATACGAGCTCGATATGGTCATCGCCTTCACCGGCGCGGCGACGCGCTCGGTCTCGTCGTCCTCGTCCGACGAGCTGGAGTTCACGACATAGGCCTGATCTACGTCCCCCCATGCCAATCATCGCCCTCGTCGATGTCATCGTCTGGAATTGGGATATCTTCTTGCAGACGGTTCACAGGGGCACCATCATATCCCGATGGCTCACCTGCTGGGGACGGGGCCCGTACATTAACGAAAGGGTTATTCTTCACCAGCTTCTCGATGGCCTTGTCATCCTCCTCTGCAGGTGATATTGGTCTCTCAGGTGAATTGATCTGCTGCAACATGGTTGCTTTTATCTTTCGGATGCGTTGTGAGGTCGACTTTGTCGGTCCGTCGACTCGTTCCTTGAACATGTCCACATCTTTTGGGCTGGTTCTCCCCCCCGTGTTCTTCTCCACGTTCACGGAGGTACTCGTACTTCCCCCATCTTTATCGACATGGTCGACTGTCCATAACCCAGAGCTTCCGGCTGATAACCCATCTTTACCCAGCTTAGGCCCAACCAGGCCAATATCGTCAAGTAAGGTAGTCCTCGCTGTTGGGGTCCATGCTAGCGGGTCAATGGACATTGTGGAATGTAAAAGGATATGTGTATCCCGTTAAGCTTGGGGTAAGGAAAATATACAGTATGAGCACGCGCGCGCGGGGGCGGGCGCGGGCCTTTTTCCTCTCCGAACCACGAACAGGTGAAGACAGCCAAGCATGTGTCTGCGTACGTGGTTATATATGCATCGACGGCGGCACGGAGCGTATGGTAACTCCTCCTCCTCCTCCTCCTACTCCCTCCTCCCCTCCTCCTCCTCCTCCTCCTCCTCCTCCTCCTCCTCCTCCTCCCCCTCCTCCTCCTCCTCCTGCTCCTCTTCCTCCTCCTCCCTCCTCCTCCAGCCGTTTTGGCCCCGACCGCTTGCTATGCCTAGGGGCACCGCGGGCCCTTGTGGTCACCGGCTATCGCCAAGCGATCCCGGCTGGAATCAGCCGTCTCCGAGTTCGGAGATCCAGATCACTAAGAGTCGGTCAGCCCTGACGGGTAAAAACAAGAAATGGCGTGATGCGAGGAAAAGGCACGAAGATCAGGCTGGGGACCCCTGGCCACCGCTCCCGCTTTCGCCTGGACCTCAGCAGGCTGCTCCCCGCGGGCAAGGCATCGGTTGGGCGCCGTGGCACATGGCTCAGCAGCCTTGGTTTGCGCCGCCTCCGCCGCCCCAGCATGGAGCTCCGAGGCCGCCTAAGGAGGGGCAGCAGCAGGATTCGAAAGTGAAGTGCTCAATGTGTTCGCGCTGGGCTTGGACGAGAAAGTTGCAGATGTACAAGAACACGTGCCTGCGCGGGGCGCCCTTGAGCAACCTTCCGCCGCCTGAGTCTGGCGAGGCAGGCGGTGGAGGGACCAAACCCTCCAAGGGCATGGGCAAGGGCAAGGGCCAGGCCGCGTTAGAGCTGCAGCTCGAGGCCGCCATCGAGGACCGCGGCGGCACCGAGCAGGCCAAGGCGGCCCAGGCGCTGCTGGACGCCACTCGGGCCGCGGGCAAGAAGGCGAGTCTTCGCAGCCTATCGCGCAGCAGGTGACAGCGGCGGCCTCGAAGGTCCAGAGGGCCCAGACGGCCTTCGACAAGGCGCAGTCGCAGCAGCTCAAGTTTACATTGGAACTGGGGAAACGCAAGAACATGTTGCAGGACGCTGCGACCACCTCGGCACAAGCGGAAGCCGAGAGGGCCATTCTTTTCCGCTCCATGGTGCCTACGGTTGCGGCAGCAGGTGCTCAGCAGTCAGTGGCGCCGAGCAGCACCATCGATTTGTCGGCGCTGCTGTCGGCGCAGTCGGTGGACGAGCCGATGATCACCATATCGTTGGGCGAGGAGTTCAGCAATGCGGACGGGCCCACGGGGCAGAGCGACGCGGGCGAGCTGGACAAGTGGAGAAGGCCGTGGTGGAGGCCTTGGCGCACACTTTGAGGGCCACCTTTGGCGACGCTCACGAGAAGCTGAAGGAGCACCGCGAGAACCTCTTGGCGATGCGCGAGAAGGTGGCCAAGCGGCGCAGGGGGCATTCGCCTGCGCCGCCGCCAGCAGTCGCGCCAGGCGGCTCAGGCGGCGAGGCGGGCGCCAACGGTGGCGCGGCGGGCCAGGCAGCTGGGCATGATGGGGCAGGCGCTGGCGCTGCGGAGAGCACGGCGCCTGGTGGCGCCGCTGCAGGGGTGAACGCTGTCGAGGTTGCGCGCTCGACGGCGATCGAGACGAAGCTCAAGTCGGATGCGGGGGCGCTGCTGGCGTCGGTGAGATCTGCGGCGGGCGCCGCGGGCACGTCGAGCCTTTAGCAGCCTCGGGCCCCTCGATCGCGGCAGGTCGGTGGTCGAGGGGCGTGCCCGCCAGCTACGAGTCCGAGTTCGGCCCCTACATGGTCTGGGCTGCCGGCTCCATCGACGGCCGAGAACCCCTCGTTCCCGTTCGGTGCAGCGGATGGGCGTGAGCCCTCTGCTGGGCAGCCGATGGCGTCGGCTGCCTTGGCCGCTGAAGGGGGCGAGGCGCGCGGTCTCGGCTGTCGATGCAGGGCAGCGGGTCATCAATTGCCAGGACCTGAGAGTACGTGCTCTACGCGTCGCTCTCTGTACATGAGAAATCTGGGAGGTTGGGGTCCAGCTACCAGGTCGGTCGTGCGTGCTCGTGAAGCGGACGCCCTCATCTTCCCTGAGACCCACGCGCCCGAGACGGGGTCTTATGATTTGCTACGCGGCTGGAGGGAGGCGGGTTACATCGGTATGCTCTCTGCGGCTTACGAGGCCAACGGCAAGTTCAAAGCGGGTGGCATTTGCATGGGCACGCTGAAGAAGTTCAAGGTTCAGTCCATGCGGTATCTTGCTTCGGCTCCGTCGGACCAGGTTGGATTGCGCGACTTGGATCGGGGCCCGAAGGACCAGCCTGGCATTGACTTCCGTGACATGGTGGCCATGCAGTTGCGCGCGCAGGGCCAGTCATTGTTGATTCTTGGAGTGTACATGACGGCGTCGGTTGGCCCGAAGGCGAACGCTCCCAAGCTGGCCAACATCGGTACCTTGGTTTCTACCATCCAGGGGCCGCGGCTGGAAATTGGTGATTGGAACATGACCCCGAAGGAGTTGGCAGGCACGGGGTGGCTTTCTATGGTTAATGGTTATGTGGTCACTCCGTCAAACACTGGGTACACGTGCACTCTGGGTTCGGGCAGAATGCTGGACTACATGGTGGTCTCGCAGCGCGCGTTGCCGCGGGCGGAGTCTCTCTCGGCCGACTTTCGGGCGGTGGAGGAGGCGGGCAAGGCTCACTGCGGGCTCCAGCTCAGCCTCAACTTTGACGCTAGTCGCGCTCGAGCGTGGTTTATGCGCGTCCCACGTGCTTTTCCACATCCTGCGCGCCCTGAGCCTGTTACCGACCCTGAGTGCAAACGATCGCGGAAGAAAGCGGAGGCTCAGGTTTGGCGTGATGCTCGGCCACAGTCGGCTGCCACGCCTGCTCCCGAGTCGCGGGGCCCGAGGCGCAAGCTGAAGATTAAGAGCCCACCGCCTTTGCAGCACTCCTTGTTTGGGGAGGACGAGGACGAGTTTTTCACTGATGGGGAGGATACGGATGTTCCTGACGAAGGCGATGATGTGCAGGTGGTCGTCTCGGACTCTGATGTGGACACGATGCCTCTATCCAGGCGGAGTGGTCGGACGCGGCGAAGGATTGGTTGTGGCAGCAGGTGGCGCCCCAGTCCTTGCAGCCGACTATTCCAGATTTTGTGCAGCAGTCTTTGGCCTTTCAAGCGACGGAGACGGAGACTCAGGACCTTGGTGTTGAGTTCGCGTCGTGGGTATCTACCATGGAGTTGTATTATCTTGAGTTGTATAAGGTGTGGGCACATTGGCGAAGAAGCAGTACCGTGGGCGGTATTCTATTCAAGGGCCTCAGCTTTGTGTATATTCTGGCAGCAAGCCGTATCCAACAGCGTCCGATCCGAGTGCTCGTTGGTGGGGTACGGTTGCTAATTCACTTGAGGAGCTGGCCGGTCAGAGTGGCAATAAGCGAGATCTTCCACGGGCAGGACATCTTCGAGACCAGCTTCGACAGCTTGCTGGAGCTACCCCGTCGACGCAGATAGCGCCGCTGCCTGCTCGGCGCCGTGACCCATGGCTACGGGGCCTTCGGACCTTAGGTGGTGCGAACGAGGGGTCTCTCCAGGCTCTTGCAGAGGGGGCTCGGAAGGCCTCGGACCAGGCTCAGCGCGCAGTTGCGCGGCAGCGGCATCAGCCCATCCGCGACAGGGCGCACCAGCAGGCAGTGTTGGGCAGTGGCGCTCTGCATCGGTTTGTTCGCGATCCCACCGCTGAAGTTTCGGAGGTCCGAGTTGGAGGATCTACGTCTTGCGATGCAGCTTCTGCGATGGAGGCCAAGGCGGCGGTCTGGACGGAGATATGGGCGCCGCAAGGTTTCGATGGCGGTCGCGCGATCAGGGTGCTGAACCGAGCCCGCAGCTTGGCGATCCAGGACGACCTGGAGCCCCTCACGCCCGACCAACTGGAGATGGCTGTGCGCTGTGTGCCGCCTCGCAAAGCGCGAGGTATCGAGTCGGTCGGCCAGAGAGACGCGCGGCGGCTGCCTGAGTCGGGCCGCTGCGCGCTGCTGGCCCTGTTTCATCAGATTGAAGCCAAAGTCGCATGGCCGCGGCAGTGACTCACGGCCATTATCGTTTTGCTTCGCAAACCTGATGTGCGTAAGGGCCGTGCCATAGGATTGCTCACCTGGCTGGGTCGGCTGTGGAGCCGCATGCGGTCTCGGCCTGCGGAAGTTTGGGCCGCGGCTCGCTCTGGCCTTTGGGGCGCCGCGGTTCGGGGCAACAGCGCCCTACGAGAGGCTCTGCTCAGATGTTATGCGGATGGGGCTGCGCCTGCCTCGGTGTTGCCAGAGTCTTGCTCTGCCTCAGTGCCGTGGGACGCGGGGGCGCTTTGCGACGCGATTCGGCGGGGGCGCGAGGTTGATCATTCGATCGATCTTGACCCCCCCCCCACCATGCACACACACACACACACACGCACGCACACACACACACGCACACACGCGCACACACACACACACACACACACACACACACACACACGCACACCACCACCACCACCACCACCGCCACCACCACAAACCACCCCCCCCCCCCCCCCCCCCCCCCCACACACACGCACCGCACACACACACCACACACACACACACACACACACACACACACACACACACGCGCACACACACACACACACACACACACGCACGCACGCACGCAACGCACGCACGCGCACGCACGCACGACGCACTCACGCACGCACACACACACACACACACACACACACACACACACACACACACACACACACACACACACACACACACACACACACACACACACACACACACACACACACACACACACACACACACACACACACACACACACGCCACCCCCTGGCCTTGGAGGGCGCCCTCCACGGGGGCCTCGGCTTCTGAAGGGGGGGGGGGGGGGGGGGGTCGCTCCACCTATTCTGCCCCGAGGGAGGGGCTTGTTGCTGGTGCTCGCAGGGCCCCCGACTGTTCGAGATGCCAGATGTTTGGGAGTTGCGAACGCGCGTGCGCCAGCAGTACGCTTGCTTCCTTGCGCACGTGGGTCGATGATGTCACCCAGCGCGCCGAGGGATTGAAACGGGGTGTAATTCGTGAATTAGTTCAAGCAGGGGCTGTTTTTGTCTCGGGCTGCGATCAGGAACAGCTTAAGATTGCGAGCGAATCGGCCACTGTGGCGCCATAGCTTTCGGTGGCACGAGCAATCCAAGCTGGCCTAGGAGAGACAGGCATCCAGGTCGAAGTGGCATCGGTTGCGGCGGACCTGGGCATTGAGAGGGGCAGTGGCGTTGCAGTTGCCAAGCCCCGTCATTCCAAGCGGCTTGGGCAGGCCACCAGAAGAGCTTGTCAACTTATAAGCTAGCTGCAGTGGCCCCTCGCAAGATCGGGGCGCGGTTAATCATCGCAGGGGCGTTGCCGCAGGCTTCCTACGCCTGGAATGTCTTTAGGGTCGCGCCCTCGGTCCTTCAGAAGTGGCGACGGGCCTTAGCTAGCACTTTAACTCGTGGCACAGCAGGGCGTTGTCTCACGACCTTGCTGGCCCTTGAGGTGCGGAAAAAGGATCCCGCCTTCATCATTGTTTTTCAAGTGCTGGGCTCGTGGTTTCAGATTGTTGCGGCTGTGTCTGAAAAAGGTTTGGGTCGCATGCGTGCCTGTTGGAAGTCCACGGTCGAGCGAATCGATAGATTGGGCCCCCAGCGCAGGTGGCACAATGTCAAAGGGCCAGTATCGGCTGTGGTCGCCATCATGACGGCCTTGGGATACAAGCTCGATGGGCCGTGGTCCCGGGTTTCTCCTGGGGGTGATGTCTTTGCTGTTCCCGATGAGCTTCGATCCCAAGCGTGTATAACGTCTGACTTTAAAAAGGAGGTTGACCGTAGCATTGAGACGCGATTCTGGTTTGATGCCGCCGAGTTCCGCAATGGTGGGGGTCTTGCTTCTGGCGTCGACCTTGCGGTCCCGTGGTGGCACCTTGCGTCCTTGCGTCTGAAGTCGGCTCAGCAGCGGGACCTGCTGCGCGCAGTGCTCACAGGGGCCGCCTGGACCAGGTCCCGAATCCAGGCTTGCGCGTGTGTGTGTGTGTGGGGGGGGGGGGGGGGGGAGTGCGAGCTCACCTGTCCACGTTGTGGGCGGGCTCCCGAGGCGGACGTCCACCGTTTTTGGGAGTGCCCGTACAATGCCGAATTCCAACATATTGATGAAGCGTTCTCCAAGAAAGCTGCGTCAATTGCTGCTGAGCTCCCGTGTTGCTGGCTTCGCGGCCTCGTGCCTCGCGATTGGACGAATGTCCCTCCCCCTCCCGACGACCCGATCCTCTTTGCCGCGGGTGCGTTTCCTGGGCCTGCTGTGGGAACTCGCATCTGGGGCGCGGGGGATGCGAGTGGTGGGGAGTTTTCGAATGAGAAACGCCTGGGGCGGGTGTCTTGGGGCGTCGCGGTTTTTGGCCATGATGTTTTAACCCTTCCCCCTCTCGCGTCGGATGCCGACAGAAAGTTTGTTATCTGGGGGCGGGATTGTTGGAAAGCAGTCTGTGAACCGAGGAGAGCTGTGGGCTCTCTTGGATGTTCTCGAGTCCGCTTCTGATCAGGTTTGCTTGGGTTATATTGCGGACGCTGCTTATGTTGCTAAGGGGTTCGCGCGAGTCCAGGCGGGCCTTTTGAAGCGAATTCCGACCCATGTTGATCGTTGGAGCCGTGTCCAGAGCGCTCTGGATCGGTTGGGCGATGTGGTTCTCATCCAGATTCCGAGCCATCTTAAAGTTGAGGATGCCATCCGTCGGGGGCTGAACCCAGGTGTTGTGCTCGCGAACGCGGTGGCCGATGAGGTCGCCAGTCATTTCGCGAAGCGGGTTCAGTTCCCGTACGGTAAGTCGGCGCCCGTCCGATTCGCGGACGGGTTGGCTCGGAAGGTGCAGAATCATCTCGTTGTAGTTATGTCTGATGTCCTTGAGCGTGAGGGTGGACGCCCTCCCCGCCCCCCCCAAAGTGCAGGTGCGGAGGACGGCCAGGCAGCTTCTGCGTTCGGCGGCGGCGCGAACCGCTCATCAGTGCCCTCTGATATGTGGAGACTTCTCGAGGTGTCAGAAGTGTGGGTGCTGCTCTTCCGCCTGTGAATTGACTGAGTTTTTGAATTCGCCGTACACCCCCATGGTCTGGTCTGGGTCTGTGTTCCGTCCGACGGCTTCGGTGTGTGTCAGGAGCCTTCTTGTGGACCCCTCCCATGCGCTGGCGTTTTGGCCAGAGGCCAATGTTTTGTGGTGCCTCACGTGTGGGGCGTACTCGACCCAGCACCTGAGACCCGGGGAAGGTTTGTTCGGGCCGCCTGGAAAAGGCGGGCTCCCAGAATCTGCAGAGGATTGCCCAGGGTAAGGTTCCTGAGAGTTTGGTTTGGGGGAAGGAGCGGAGGGACATGGCTGCGAAGAGAGGGGGGGGAGAGAGAGAGCGGCGAGCGCGGCCCCGCCCGCGCGGCGCGCGGCGCCGTTCGGGGACGCCGCCCTCGCGGCCGACGTGGCCGCCGTCAGGCGCCGCCCTGCCTCTCTCCCGCCCACCGTGCGCCTTCCTCCGCCTTCGCAGGCCCCCTTGCCATCCTAAGAGGCATAGGCTGCTTCGTAGGTTGGCCCTCTTCCCGTCATTAATCATCGTGATCGCTCGCTATATATATATATATATATATACTCCTCCTCCTCCTCCTCCTCCTCCTCCTCCTCCTCCTCGTCCTCGTCCTCCTCCTCCTCCTCCTCTTTCTCCTCCTCATCTTCATCCTCCTCTTCCTCCGCGACCATATGGCCAGCTGTTCTCCACCGCCCTGGCATGGATCGTGGCCCAAAGGGAGCTCCGCCTACGGCCCCAGAGAGAAGGTTCGCATGGCGTCTTCACGCCAACTTCGGCACATCCCTCACACGGATCGCGCCCCACAGGGAGCTCCACCGACGGCTCAAACAGGAGGAGTCGCATGGCGTCCATCGGCATATTTCGGCACACCCCTGACGCGGATCGCACCCCGCAAGGATCTCCATCTATGAGAGAGCGTGATCCACCGCCGCTTTACTGTGGAAATTCCCCCCCCCCCCCCTTCCTCCGGAACCTGGGGGTCCCCCCCGCGCTCCGAAATCCCCCCCCCCCTGCTGGAACCCCTCCCCCCCCCCCTCCCGGCAAACTTCCACCGAGACAGCTTTGCGGCTGTCGAGAGGCCTGACCACGTTCTGCGGGCGCCGAGAGCGGCGAAAGATGGCCCGTCTCGCTTCTTGCGAGCCGCTGGCTCCCGAGTGGCACACGCGCTGGCCGATGAGCATCCAGCGGCGCTTGGGGTCCTGCTCTGCGCGGAACTCCAGGATCGCCGCCTCGAGCAGCGACTGGGCCTGCTGGGTTCTGGTGCGGAGGACAACGACAAGGACGACTACGCAGACCTCCGATGTCGTACTCGTTTGCTCAATCATATGTCGCCCGGAGAACAGTGTTCAACACCAATCGATGCGGGATGAAAGGGGGTCACGGAAGGGGGCGAGAACTCTGGGACCCACGGAATGGACAAATCACGACGTCGGAGGTCTGGGACAAGGATTGAGTCGAGGAGGACGGGAGGACGCAAACTCTACACACTTCCACCGATCATGACCAGATCGACCCTAGCACAGGATCGGTGTAAATACCCTCGTGGCAAGGCCTGGGGGCATCTGCACCGAACCTGGGCCCAGGCTCGGCAAAGGCGTACAGTGGGCACTCACGACAGGGTGTAATCATGCTATGAGGAATCAAGGGGCACATCCTTTGTCGATGATGAGCTTCGTGAGGTGCCTCAGAAGGCTCTGCGGACTCAAGGGAAAATACGAGGTTGGTGTGGGGCACCCGTTGGCACACCAGCCCCTGATGTGGTGTGCGTGCTGCGTACAGTCGGGGGCTTTTGATTAGCGTGTCGCGGCGGCGGCCCTGGCGACACGCTGCGCCTGGCGCCAGCATCACTGCTGAAGGCACGTGCTCTGAAAGGGAGCCAGCGCCAGTGTCGGGCACGGGGTGAGGAAAGCAGGTGGGAGAAGTTCAGCCGTCCTGCACCAGACGGTGCGCAGGTAGGAGCACGCGTCAAGAGGCCACGGAGGTCCGGCCGTGCCGTGCCCGGGCGGCTCGCTCCCACGCCGACGCCGCACCGCCCTCCTGGCAGAGGAAGTCAGCAAAACGGGCGCGGATGCGCCAGTCTTCTCACAGCTGCCGAACACCATGCTTCCCCACATCTGCCTGGAGCGTCCTCGCTTCTCGAGGCCGCACGACCGTCGGACCCTCTAGAGCGTGCGAGAGCTCGGAGCTGGGCCCGGCTGTCCCCGAAAAAAAACAGACGACGACGAACCGAAGACGACAACAACGTCACGACCACGATGACGTTACGTTGACGACGACGGCGACGACGACGAACCGACAGCGACACAACCACGACGTTGACGACGACGACGGCGACGTTGACGACGACGACGACGACGATTTTGCGAACATGGGATCGAGCAAGCTGAGCTTACCTTCAATTGTCACTCCCTCTCCCCTGTGTTGAGGGACTTCTGTTCATACCAGCTCCTGGGCGAAGTATTGTGCAGTGAACTCTTTATGCGCACCATGCCGCCATGGTCATCATGCCAGCTGACGCGCCCGCGGGTAATTCACAAACGTGCCTGAATTGCCAAGGAGTCTCTGGCGAGAGCGCCAGTCCTGAGCCTGCGAGCCTCTCTGGCCGGGGCGTCTCGAAGTAAATCGCGAGGAGGTATCGAGCGGGAGCCATTGTCGTCGAGGTCTCTGGCGAGAGCGCCATTCCCGAGCTTTGGGGCCTATCTGGTCGAGAGCGTCTCGGAATAAAATATGAGGAAGTATACAGCGGGAGCCGTTATCGTCGCAGTTTAGGCCCTCGGGCGCCCACGTTTGGAACACAGCCCGCGCTCGAGCAGGAGCCTCGGCTTCAAAGAAAACGCAGCTGGCGTCGAAGCACGCGCCCAGAACCGCTCCCACCGATCAACAATCTCTGACGGCAGCGGCGGCGGCGGCGACGCGCACGCACGCCTCCGACGACCAGGGTGCCGCGGGCGCCGCCGCCGCGGGCGCCGAGCTGCACGCGGAGCCGCCGCCGGCCCCAGGCGCGGAGGCGAAGGCCGGCACACCAGCCTGTGTGCCCGCACGGGCGCGCCAGCTGCGGCGGCGGCCGGCTCGCGCGCCGCAGGCGGCTGCAGCAGGCCCCCGTCCTCCTGCTCGGCATCCTCCTGCTGCTGCTTCTGTTCGTCCTCCCCCTCCTGCTACTTCTCAGACTTCTTCTCCTCCTCCTCCTTCTCCTCTTCCTCTTCCTCTTCCTCTTCCTCATCATCATCATCATCATCATCATCATCATCATCATCAGCATCATCATCAGTATAATATTCCTCATCATTCTCAGCATCAGCCACCGTCTGGCTTCAGCTTGTCGCGCGGCCATGTCCCGAGTTGCAAAAGTCACCTCGCAGGCGCATCTCCCGGTCCTGAGCGGCCGACTCATCTGATGTGCTGGCAGATCTTTTCTCTCTTGCAATACAATTCGCTGTTCTTGCACGGGGTGCGGGCGGAGGACATCGCGCTGGAGTGCCCCAACTTCGGCTTCATTGCGTGTTCTGGCACCCGACAGCCTGCGCACCCGACGCAGGACTTCCAAATACACAGGGTGCTGGGGAGGCTCTACGTGAGCAGCGGCTTCCACAAGCAGGGCCGCTTCACCAACAGCAGTGCCGGCTGCGCGATCTTCATTCCGCAGGGGTGGGGGAGGAAGGCGATCGCAAAGGTGCAGGTGCCCCAACGCGACCTTCGAGGGCGCGCTTTAGCAGTGGTGGCAGCACATGGTAGTATCAGACGATTGGTGATGTGCTTGTATTTTCCCCCGAAGCCGCCTGTCGGAAACTGAAAGAATGGGCCTTGGACGTATTACGGTCATGTCCATCGCGCACCGCACCATGCATTTTGAGTGATGTAAATGATGGGGTGGGTATTTCCAAAAGTTCCGGATCCTGGAAAACAGTTTCTACTTCTTCGCTCGGGGCTACTGCTCACAGAGAGCAATACGTCGGAGGGGCAGGCCAGTGCTTCAGTGAAATACTCGAGGAAGGGGGCTTGGGCATGGTAACTTCCTTTCGTGCGGAGCAGCCCACCTTCTACGGCAATGCCGGCGCATCGTCCATGATCGACGCCATCGCGCTGCCACTCCTGCAGCTTAGACAAATCAAATCGGTTGGCATTCTGACGACGTTGGGGAGAAAGTTACAAGCTATCAACACCCGGGCTGTGAAGGACCACGTGCCTCTGCACGTGGCGTGGGAGGAATGGGTGCGGGCAGAACCGGCGCTTGATCGGCAGGTGCAGGGGCCAGATGGACAATTTCGCGTGCCAGTGCAATGGGACAAAGATGAATTGATGGCAGGTATTCGCGGGGGAGATCAGCAGGAGGCATTTGTGACAGATCTTGAACAGGTGTTGCAGGATCGAGCAGCTGAATTGCAGAAGTGTCTCAATAATGATACCCCTGACGAGCTGGCGAACTTCATAAATGCAGTCTTGCAGGAGTGCGGAAAGAAGTACTTCGAGAAAGGTGCGCCTAAAGCCAATGCACAACAGAGGAGAGACACAGAGGAAAGGATTCGACTTCTTCGACACCGTCGCGACCTCCGCCTTCGCCTCGCAGACGCACCGGATGAGGACCATGCTGCGCGGGTCACGGCGCAGCTCAAGGCAGTCACGAAAAGTTGTAAAGCTACCAGACGACGACAACACCAGGCTCAACAAGATAAGCTTGTGGATGATATTTGGGAAGCGTGGAAAAACAGAGAGTTTGCTTTAGTGCATCGCCTCTCAGCGGCCCTGGCAGGAGTCTCTACTGGAGCCATCAGGAACAAATTTTCTGTAATCGACGGTGAGCTGCCGACGGCTCGTGAATGGTTGCAGGTATGGTCGCTCTCTGGCGCCGAGGGCGGCATGCAGGCGTACGAATGCGACTGGCTTCGCCTTCAGGACATGCGTGCGCAATGGTGTCGACAGCAGGGTCACTTTCCCACTGATCGCTCTCCGCGGCATGGCAACTCGCTGGACGGGACCTCGCGGCCCTCCTCCAGTATCTTCGGCGCGCGCCGAAGCGTAAAGGCGTGCCGCATTGGGCCTGCCCAGTGGAGCTGTTGTCATTAGCATTGGGTGCCGCGCGAAAGCCTAGATCACGTCGTCGAGGTTTGGGTGCGAAAGAACCTGTGCGACGATCCGCGGCATCAGCTGATTGCATCAAGCACCTCTTCTACCAAGTTCGCGTGCCTCAGACGGTTCCTTTGCTTTGGAATTGTTCTCAGGGCTACCCGCTGTTCAAATCCAACGAGATTGGCCCAAAGGGGCGGCGGGCGGTGCATGGCCTGGACCCGATGGGGAAAGATTTCTTCTCGCACATATCGTCTACGCCTGTCAGGAAAAGCGTTCTTGACCACGGGTTCCTCCAAAACCGGCGGCGAGAAGACGCCATGATGTCGACTATGGTTGTGGGCCATCGCCTCACGGCTGCAGGCTTCTACTGGGTGGATCTTCTTCGGAACGTATCGAATGCTTTCGGCAGTACGGCGTGGCAGGTGTTAGATGCAGCTACCAAGGAGATGGTGCCCGAGGAGAGTTTGAAGTTCGGTTTCCAGCGGTGCCGGTTGGCCACCTATTTTTTGCCCACGGCTTCTAGCCCCATGCTGCTCAAGAGCCAGTGCGGGGGGATGATGGGCGACCCTTTCATTGTCAAGTCCTTCATGGCGTCGATTCGCGATCCGTCTGAAACGTGGATCGCGCGGTATTTCGCGGAGGACGATCTGGATCATCTAATCAATTTTCATTGCGAGTTGGGAAGCAATGAGTTTGACGTTTACGCGGGAGCACACAAGTTTGCAGACGACAGCTTGAAAACAAATTATCATAGGTCAGATATATGAACAAGAGCGGCTTCGGTCAAAGGTGTTGCTATGCGACCATCTCCTCGATTCATCTCTGGCCCCTGCCGGGTACGTTCAGAACATGTCAAAAAAGGAATCGATCGTGGCGGTCCCCGCGTCGCACATGAGGGGGGCGGCCCGCCTTCTTCGTGAGCTCGGGAACACCGTCGAGGACTCCACGAGGCATTTGGGCCCACACCTGACCGCCAACCAGTCCTTCACCCCAGAGATGCTCCGTAGGATCCAAGCCGCCAAAAAAAGCTATTTCAGTCTGGGGCGGTTCTGGACAAAGAAAGGAGTTCCTATGAAGTGGAAGAGATGTGCCCTGCAGTGCCGGGTCGTTGGCGCCCTGGTCTCGGCCGCGGAAACGTTCTTACCCAGCGTTTCGCAAGCTCGTCGTCTTGACTTGGCGCTGGCTGGGCTTGCGAGGAGAACGATGCGGGGGGCGGCGTCTTGGGAGAAAGCCCCTGGGGAAGTCCGATCCATGTCGTCGTCTGAGGTTATGAAGTATGGGAAGCTGCCCACGGTGACGGTAGAGCTCATGGTGAAGCGCGTTGGATGGCTTCAAATGTGCGCCAGAGCCCTGGGTGACCACTTGCAGGTCCTCGCTGCTGTTTTCGGTCAGGCCCCCTTCGAGGACACGCGGCCCTTGAACGAGATAGGTCAGGTCCTCCCATCGGCGAACCCCTGGGCCCTGCGGTTCCAGTCCGACCTCGAGTCTCTGGCAAGTGTTTCTGAGGACATGGGGGAGCTCTGGAGGGACGTGGAGGGGTCATTGGGCAGGCTGTTTGAGGAGGAGTGGAAGGAGAGGTTCTGGTCGGTGGATGCGTCGGTTCTGAGGGCGGCAGCGACCTCGGCAGCTATCGGGCCGTCTCTCGAGGGCGTCGCGGCGGCCTCGGAGGAAGCGTCGGCTCTGGAGATAGAAGAGGTCCCACATGTGTTGGTGGTCTGATGAGCATGGGGTGTGTAACGCGTCTTTCAGCACAGAGAAGGCCTTAGGGAATCATTTACGTAAAGTTCACGGGGCTACTCGTCTATCGTGCGCCTTGACGGTCACCAACCAATGCATCGTGTGCCGGGAGGTCTTCTGGGATCGTGCCGTGGCGTGTCGTCACCTCGCGGGGGCCCTTCGTCATCGCTGGTGTTGCGTGGGAAAAGCCACTAGCATTTCGAAGTTAGCTGACCCGCAGCCATTGAGGTGCAAGCTCTGCGATTTCGAGGCTGACGACCTTCCTTCCTTTCAGGACCACGCCCTGACCCACCTCCCCTTCCTGCCTGTGCAGCGGCGCCGTCTCCGGGGCCATGGACTTCGACGCGATGATGGCGGACCTCAGCGGCGAGGGCGAGGGCGGGGCCTGGTTCGGGAGCCTGCTGAAGGCGGACGCGGCCGAGGGGGGCGCCGCCGAAGGCAAGAAGCGCAAGGCCGAGGCCGCGCTCGTCCAGGAGGCGACGGACGTCGCCAAGGGAGCCAAGGGGAAGGACGACCTCAAGCAGCTCGTCGTCATCCTCGCGAGGCTCACCATGATCAATTCGAGGGAGCTGGCCAACCTGTGCGGCGTAGTGTACAACACGTTCCTGCTGAGCCCCACGCACTTCATCACCCTCGCGGGCTTGGAGGCGGGGGAGCGCTACAACAAGCAGGTAGAGGAGCTCAAGGAGAAGAAGGCCGGAGGGGAGGAAGTGGACATGGCGAGCCCGGGCCCCCCGCATCTTCTGGTCTTCGCGATGGTGCTGGCGGCGCTGGTAACTCACTCGGCGGTGTCGGTCAGCGCGCCGCAGGACCGCCAGAAGGAGGCCAAGGCGTTCTGTCTGGCTGGACAAAGTCAAGGGGGGCACGCAAGCGGCGCTGTCCATGCACGTGCGCTACTTCCGCGTCATCAAGCCGAGGGGCACGAAGAGCAAGAGGATGAAGGACAAGGTCAAGTTCGTGTTCGCTTTCTCGGCGAGCTCGGAGATCGGCAGGATGCTCGAGACGTGGTTCCTCGACGAGATGAAGGCGGCCGGGGCCGAGGTGGCCATGGGAGCAGCACCTCGCGGAGAGCTAGAGCGGGAGGCAGCCCGCTTGATTGTGCGCCTCCAGAAATGAGGAATTCGACGAGGCTGAGGGCTCTGCTGGAGGAGGGGCACACAATCCCAGCACGTGTTCTGCGATGATGGGATTCTGATTATTGGGTCGTTCCACGTGCTGAGCCAAAGCCGAAGCCAAGTAGCAGGCGCCAGTACCTAGAACCTTCGGCCCAGGCGAGGGGCCGCGGCCGGGGTAGGGTAAGCCGCTCTTAATTTTTTACTGGAAGAAGCAGCGGCAACAGCGGCAGCGGCAGCAGCAGCAGCAGCAGCAGCAGCTGCAGCCGCGGCAGCAGCAGTAGTGGAGCTGACCTTATGTTTCCCTCCTGCGACCCCTGAGGCGTTACACCCGCAGGGAGGGGGTCTGCATGTAACGCTTTTTCCATTTCCCCAACACGGGAGGAGGCGTTACGCCCAGAGGGGGGGCTGTGCCTGTCACGGCCTGGCCCCCTTTTGAAGCAGCGGTATCCTCCTCCTCCTCCTACTCCTCCTCCTCCTCGCGGGGGCCCGTTTCCCTCAGGACTCCCTCCTCGGCAATTTTTCGGACCTCTTTGGAAGGCACGTGAGTGCCAAAGGAGCCCCCGACTGGGGCGTCCCCCCAAGGGGTGCTTTAGGCCCGAGCGTGTGGTTCACGCCAGCGGCCGCTCAAGTGAGAGAGATCGGTAGGGTGACTGTAACCCGCGCAGGCGGTGGCATGTATTGTGTCGCAGCTTTCAGGCACCGCCCCAGCGCATTGGAATTGGAAGAGGAATCCTCAGCATCATCATCAGCATCATCCTCATCCTCATCATCATTAGGATCATCAGCATTATGATCATCATCATCATCATTATGATCATACTCCTCATCATCCGTATGTTCATCATCAGTATGATCAGCATGATCAGCAGCATCATCACCATCCTTATCATCATCATCATCATCATCATCATCATCATCATCATCATCATCATCAGCATCATCATCATCATCATCAGCATCATCATCCGCATCATCATGATCACATTCATCATCCGCATCAGCATCCTCATCACCATCATCAGCAGCAGCTGCTGTCGCCATGATCATCAGCATCAGCATCATCATGATCAGCATCAGCATCACCATCTTCACAATCATCAGCATCACCACCACCATCAACATCATCATCAGCAACATCATCAACGTCGCCATCATTATCATCAGCATCATCCGCATCCTCATCATCATCGGCGTCATCAGCGTCATCAGCGTCATCATCAGCATCACCAGCATCACATTCATCACATTCACCACCATCATTACAATCATAACCATAATCACAATCAAAACCATCAACATATCACCATCACCGTACCAAACCAATTAACAAATTAATGAACCAATCAATGAATCAATGAATACATCAATCAATCAATCAATGAATAAATCAAGCAATCAATGGATCAATCAATCAATCCCTGAACCAATTAATCAATCAATGGAGAAATTAATCAACGCAATCAATCATTCATCCTGTCCCATCGTCTGGGGACATCCGAGGACCTCTGGATGCTCTCGCGGGGACTTACGGAGACCTCCGAAGACCTCAAGGGTCCTCCAAAGGCCCCCAGAAGCCGCTCGAGGCCCGCGGAAAACCAACAAACAGGCCAAACACATCTTGGAAACCTCAATGCTCGATCATCCTCCTTCTCCTCCTCCTCATCCTGTTCCTTATCCGCCTCCTCCTCCTTCTTCTCCTCCTCCTCCTTCTCCTCCTCATCCTCATCCTCATCCTCCTCCACCATCTCCCCCTCGACCCCTGGGCTGATTGAGGCTCCGTCTTGCTCCAGCACACCTGGCCGCTGCCGCAGCGGCTCAGAGGCAGACGCAGCGGCGGCGGTGGCGGTGGCGAAGTCCCCAAGGAAGCCTCTGGCTCCGCCTGTCCGTCGGGTTCACCCTGCTTCTCCGCGGCCTGGTCCCGCGCCTTCTGCTCCTCGAGCGCCTCGTGGGGCTGCCGTGTGGGCCCGCCGCAGGAAAGGCGAGCCTCCTCCTCCTGCTTCTCCTGCTCCTCCTGCTCTTCCTGTTCCTGCCTCCTGCTCTTGTCTCCTGCCTCCTGCTCCTGCCACGTCCTCCTCATGCCTCCTCTTCCGTTTCCTCCTCCTCTTCTTCTTTTTAATATTATTAATAGTCTTACTATTTTTCTCATTCGTATTATCATGTTTTTCTGACAAGTAGTATGATTCGTATTCGCGTGATCAATATGTAGTCTTATGGGTATTGAAAGAACTAGTAAACGTAGTAGTAGTAGTAGTAGTAGTAGTAGTAGTAGTAGTAGTAGTAGTAGTAGTAGTAGTAGTAGTAGTAGTAGTAGTAGTAGTAGTAGTAGTAGTAGTAGTAGTAGTAGTAGTAGTAGTAGTAGTAGTAGTAGTAGTAGTAGTAGTAGTAGTAGTAGTAGTAGTAGTAGTCAGTAGTAGTAGTAGTAGTAGTAGTAGTAGTAGTAGTAGTAGTAGTAGTAGTAGTAGTAGTAGTAGTAGTAGTAGTAGTAGTAGTAGTAGTAGTAGTAGTAGCAGAAGTAGCAGCAGCAGTAGTAGTAGTAGTAGTAGTGGTAGCAGCAACAGCAGCATATGTATTAGTATAATTAGGTAATACTCGTGTTGGTATGATATCAGTATTACTATACGTCGCGTTCTTACTAACAGCTCGAATAGAAGTATGACTCTTAACACTCGTCACTTCTTAATCGTCATAATATGCGTTGTCTTCTTATTATTATGTTATGCTTGTTATTACTACTCCTCCTCCTCCTCCTCCTCCTCCTCCTCCTCCTCCTCCCCCCCGCCCCTCCCACTCCCATCCTCCTCCTCCGCCGCCTTCTCCGCCCTCCTCTCCTCCTCCTCCTCCCTCCTCCTCCTCCTCCTCCTCCTCCTCCTCATGGGATCGAGAAGTGTTTATTCTCTTCCTCCTCCTCCTCATCCTTCTCCTCCTCCTCCTCCTTCTCCTCCTCCTCCTCCTCCTTGGCGCCGGTTGGGGCGGCAGGTGCTGCGCGAGTCCCACACATCCCACCAATAGCCGAGGTCCGACCTGCTCTGCTTCCGAGAAAGGTCCACGCGCACGCCCTGTAGGTGAGGGAAGGGGCCTGGGCACTGGAGCCCACTCCCTGGCCCTCCCAACTGTTGCCGCCTCCGCCGTCGGCCCAGCCCGAGCTCTGGCCCGCCGCCCCCTCGGGCCTGCCTTGCGCGGGATGCTGTCGAGTTCCATGGGCGACGCCGTGGTTAGAGTATGGCGGCGCGCAAGAGGGGGGCAGGGTGAGCGGGGAAGGCTTCTCAGAAGGAGGCTGCTTCTTAAAAGGCGCCGGCCTATCTACAGACAAGGCCCGCGAGAAGCCCCCCCTTCTCCCTACCCCCTTCTTGGCGTGGCCGAAGGGCGTCGTCCGATTCTCAATCCTGGATCGCGCAAGCCTGGACTGCGCTGAAGAAGGACGGAGGCAGAGGCGGGTGGCGCTGGCGAGTCGCGCCGCGACGCCCAGTGGCCACTCACGCCACCGCGTGCCCAGAAAGAGCACAGTCTTCCCCGCATCGCGACGCGATCCCTGGAAAAGAAGGAGGAGCACCACCAGCAGCAGGAGCAGGAGCAAGGAGGAGGAGATCGCTCGACCAGGAGAGCAGTAAGAATCAGACAGGGCCGATCCGAATTCAATACCGAGGCAGGGCTTCAGGGCTCCAGACGAACGATGCTCAACTTTTGCGGACGGAGACGGAATGCTACGCGCACTCAAAACAAATACCCAGAGAAAAGGCAGCGCGGGAAAGCCAAAGCAGAACCAGGAGGTCAGCCAAAAAGGGAGCAAGAGCGACAAAGGGGGCAAACAACAACCTGACCATTTCTAGTGGGCGGTTCATGCGAGGCACTACTCAGTTCACGGCTTTGGTCATGCAGAGAATCACTCATATCCGATGTACATTTGCATCTGTCTGACACCATGGCGCATTTGCATCGTCTACGGACGCCATGTCTCCGACATATACCTGTTAACAGATCAGATTTCAAGACAAATGTACAAGTACAAACCGAAAGGCTCTGGCAAGGCGTTGGCCGAAACTCTCCAAGCGTATCGGCCACTCTCAAGCAAAAAAACGAAGGATCTCCACAACTACCCTCGCGCGTGCGACCGCCGCCCTGCCTGCGCCGCACAGGCGCGATGGAATGGAAGTCAGCTGCCGGGTACGGTTCTGCACTATTCTAACGGCCCCCCCCCCGACCCCACCCCCGAGCAGCACGCCAATGCGTCCCCCCTCCAGACGGCCCTGTTCCTCTGAGTAAGCAATGGAGACGCGATCCAGAGGCCGCGATCCATTGTAAAAAATGGGTCCGCGCCTTCGAAAGCAAGCTGGCCCAAGACGGTCCTGGGCGGCCTTGAACACGGCCCAAGATGGGCTCTGGACGGACCATGAAGACCCCAGACGGTCCACGAGAACTCCGAAAGGACCCGCAACGCCCCTGGGCGCCTCGAGACCCCCTCCACCAAACTACAAGCGCCCCGAAACCTCCTCCCCCGAGCCTGAAGGCCCGTCCGCATGCCCAGGCGATAAAAACCGCGTGTCGCTTCATATCGGTATATGAGTGTTCTGCGAGATGTCACGCATGTATTAGACCAATGCGAAAACTTGCCTGTCTGAGTAGCAATTTCTTCCATGGCAAATAAATTCCTCAGTCCCCTTCCGGGGGCCAAACGCACCCTTATTTCGAGCTGCACACAGCCGCAACGAAGAGGAGGGCCGCCGAAGGCCAAAAACCCTCGAACCTCGATCCTCGAGGCTCGAACTCCGAACCGCTCGGGCAAGAGGGGCCAGGGAGAGAAGACGCAGATATAGAGAGAGGCAGAGAAAATCGAGGATGAAGGACGCAGGAATGAGTCGCTTGAAGCCGCTTCCGCTCAGACGGCAATCGGCACACGCAACAACAGCGAAGCGCGACAGCCCCCGGGCGCAAGTGCAACATTCAGGGGTGCTTTCCCACGAGAGCTGCACCGCGCGCAACGACCGCAAAGCAAGTCAAACAACTTTCAGAAGGCCCTGCGCGGGATGCGAAACATGGGGAACGATCTTCGCATGCAAAACGCGCAACAAATATCTTCCGACTTCGACCGCGAAAGGGGGAACGGGGCTGAACGCGTGGGCAACCCGTTGCACGGTGCACTGGCTACAAAGGCAAACGAAATCAGGCCGCAGGGCTACCTCTCGGTTGTTTAGCTTACACCTACCCGTAGATCTAGAGTCCGGATCCTCGAGGGCGAACTGCGCTCCAAATCTGGAGTCGACAATTGGAGTCGGGGTTCCTCAACGGCGCAGCTCTGGCCCTGCGCCATGTGGTAGGCAGCGTGGACCGTCAAGTCGTCAGTCGGCTGAGAAGGCGGTGAGCTGCCCGACGCGGTCTTGTACTGCGAACAGTGAGCTTTGCACATTGCGCCTCGAGAGCGCATAGCCGCTCATGCAACTTCTCCAACCCATTGGGCAACTGTGGCGCGATGGGTACCGCAGAAGCCGGCACGAAAAAAACTACCTCGGCGCGGATGCTGGCGACCACGTCGTCAGTGTGCATCGCGGTGAGATGGCGGACGCACTTGTAGGCATTGCTCAACTTGTTCAGATTACGTATTGCGTGTTGGCCAACAAGGGGTTGTTCACGCCCAACACCGTTGGGCGTGAACAACCCCTTGTTGTCGAGCACGGCCTGGTTGAGCGTGAGGTCGTGCCGTCCATGTTCGTCGCCAAGGCGTTCAAGGCATCAAAATAGAACTCAACCATAACGGCGAGCGGAAAGATCTCACTTGATGTATGTTTCGGAGCCTGGCAGCTTGTATGGTTCTTCATGTGTTTCTCCGCGGTCGCCATCGCTGGTTTAGCGCGTGTAGGCGTGGGGCCATGGCACTCCACGAACATGCCTGCTCGCATGCCGAGGGCCGCGCGGGCACAAGGTCTTGAGCCAATCCGCTACGGAAGAACAATAAAGAGGAGGAACAGGAAGGAGACTGACGCTACGGCCCCGTTATCAAAATCTGCCCAAAGCAAAAAGCAGGAGCAGGATCACGAGGCGTAACAGGAGCAGGAGGAGGAGGAGCAGGGGGAAGAGAAAGAGCAAGAAGCGGAGCGGATTGCGCCGCCTCCGCGTCCCTGTCGTCGGCCTCCCGCGCCCGCAGGTACAACGCCGCCATGTGGCGGTCGATGTGCTGCAGCGCGCGGTAGACGGCCGAGCTCCTGGCCGCCTCCTCCCGTCGGAAAGCCACCCAGGGGCGCGTCTCTCTGGGCGATCTCCCGTTCAGGTGTTCCAGGGGAAAATGTTCAGGACTCATCGAAGGCTCTCGGGCGCGCTCGGGGGTGTTCAGGCGCCCTGTTCCACATGTCCTGGGGTGCTGGGCGACTCCCTCCTCCTCCTCCTCCTCCTCCTCCTCCTCCTCCTCCTCCTCCTCCTCCTCCTCCTCCTCCTCCTCCTACGTACTCATCCTCCTCCTCCTTCTCCAGTCTCCCTCCTCCTCCTCCTCCTCCTCCACCTCCTCCTCCTCCTCCGCCTCCTCGTCCTCCTCCTCCCCCTCCTCCACCACCACCTCCTTCTTCTCCTCCTCCTCCTCCACCTCCTCCTCCTCCCCCTCCTCCCGCCTGCCGCCGGTCCTCATGGCCTCCTACCAACTCATGTCCCTGCAGCCCTGTCCTGGGCGGGCACGCCGCGGACGCCTCCGCGAACAGCGCTGGCAGCGCCCCAGCGAAGCGCTGCGGCAAGCTTGCCGGCTCGAGGACGCGGAGAGCGGCGGAACCCAGAGCCGCCTGCGACAGCGGCGACGGCAAGGTCTCCTCGATCCTCGTCCCTCCATTCCCTCCCTTCCTCTCTCCCTCTCCCCCGAATCCTCCTGCTCCTCCTCCTTCTCCTCCTCCTCCTCCTCTTCCTCCTCCTCCTCCTCCTCCGCCTCCTCCTCCTCCCCTTCCTCGACCACCTCCACATCCACATCCACATCCACATCCATCCACATCCACATCCACATCTACTTCCTCCTCCTCCCCCTCCTCCTCCTCCTCCTCTCGTTCTTCTCCTACTCCCCCCCTCCTCCTCCCCCTCCTCCTCCTCCTGCTGCTCCAACTCCTCCTCTTCCTCCTTTGCCTCGTCCTCCTCCTCCTCCTCCTCCTTCTCCTTCTCCTCCTCGTCCTCCTCCTCCTCCCCTTCCAGTTCCTCCTCCTCGTCCTTCTCCTCCTCCTCCTCGTCCTCCTCCTCCTCCACATCCTCCTCCACCTCCTCCTCCTCCTCCTTCTCTCCTCCTCCTCCTCCTCCTCTTCCTCCTCCTCTTCCTCCTCCTCCTCGCACGTGGCCAGCTCTTCCTCCTCCTCCTCCTCCTCGTCCGCCTCTCCCTCCCTCCATTTCTCTCCCTCCTCCTCCTCCTCCTCGTCCTTCTTCTCCTCCTCCTCTCCTCCCTCCTCCTCCTCCTCCTCTCCTCCTCCTCCTCCTCCTCCTCCCCCCTCCTCCTCATCTTCCTCCTCCTCCATCCCATCAACCACTGCTCTTTCTTAATTAACAGCCCACACACACCATCCCTTTCAAAAAACCATACAGAATGCACTTTGCCTCCAAATCTGGAGCATGCGCGGGCGCCCCCCGACCACTCTGCATATGTTTTTTGATAAGGACGGTGGGGGTGCTGGCCCGGTCAAAAATTAGTACAACATACGACTTGCCCCAAAATTCAAAGCATACGCGGACGCCCCGCGACCGCTCGGCGGGCGCCCGCGACCACTCCGCATTGGCTTTTGGCATGGATGGCGGGGGGGGGTCGCCATGGTGCTACATGCGCGCGGGCCAAACAATCCTAGACAAAAAAGCACTACGGGATGCGCATCGCCTCCAACTCTGGAGCACGCGCGGGCGCCCCATCCACCACTTTCACTATTTTTGACATCTGCTGCACGCAAGTTGCGCGCAGGCAAGCCGTCCCTGTCAGAAAACCATATAGCACTTTGCCTCCAGATCTAAAGCATGCGCGGGCGCCCCGCGACCACTCTGCATTGGTTTGCAATAAAGGTGGCGGACGTGCTGGCACACTGCTTGATGCGCGCAATGCAACCAGCCCTGCCAAAACAACAATACATAATCCCATCATCGGTCGGCCTTCCGTTTGCTTTGTGGTGAAAGATCATTTGGATGCTGCAGTTGAGAGAAGCACCTCGCAGCCCTGCTGCGCAGACCACGTGGGGTCCCACTGCGCCATGTCTGCATGGCGCCACCACATTGTGCGTGCCAACGGCATCCCAGCCCTCTCGTGGAACACGTGCCGCACTTGCCGCGCCTCGCACGCTTGGGCCTCCAGGGTGAAGGGTGCACCTGAACCCGTGGCGCACATGGCATGCGTGGCGCTCCTTGGCGATGTGCTGAGACTCGGGTACTACCATGTGTTGGGAGGGCGGGTGGGAGTGAGCGAGACGGCTTGCGGTCTCGGGGGGGGCTCGACTACTTCCTATCGGACCCCCAGACGTATTGGTAGGGCGAGCAGGGTGCTCCGCAAAAACATTTCCTCACCGCTTACGATCTGGAAGCTGGAAATTTGCAAACAACAGTTTCACAGTGGGACGGCAACACGTCTCCAATATATAGTTTTCGCCTTAGAGCCGCACGCACTCGCTTTAAAAGTTCGCAACAACTTCACGGAGGTAGGGCGGTCCGTATTGTAAATGGTCTCTCGCCTCAGCGCCGCGCACATTTGTCATCAAATGTGCAGCAGTGTCAAGGATGGAAGGCGGCTCCTTTTCAGAATGTGGTTCTCGCCTTAGCTTCGCGGACAAACGTCTTCAAACCTTGCGACAGCTTCAGACATTCGCATCGCACGCTGGCACGATGTAGGACTGCCATGACCCAACAGTCGTTGATTCGCAGTGTCGAATTCCCAGGATTGCGTCCTGGCACGATTGAAGATCGCCAGGACGCAACGGTCACGTTGACTCGCAGCGTTGAAGTCCCGGGAATTGTGCACTGGCACGATTAAGTGTTTCAGAATTTCTGACAATTGTCTTCCAATGGTTCATCTCCCACAGTGGAAAGAATCCGTGTAGGGACCCATGAAGAGGCAAGGCAATTCGGACGGAGGGTTCATTGCCGTACCTTGGATGCGTCTTGGGTTTACTCTGGTGCTCCCCGCCCCCCTTCTTCTCTCTCCACCTCCCCCTATCCCTCCCCCACCCCCTCCCCCTCCCCCCCCCTCCCCTCACTTTCCCTTCCCCCAACCCCCACCCTCCCGCCACACCTCCCTCCCTCCCTTCATCCCCCTCCCCTCCTTCCCTCCCCGGCTCTGACACGAACCGGCTGTTTCATCTTCGGATTTGCTTCTGGAAGCAAGAACGTGTCATATTCCAGGCGTAGGAAGGATGAATTAGCCATCGGAATTGCCGTGTCTCGGGAGCCTTTCACCACCATGGGACCCGAGGTCATGGGACCCCTGGTGGGGAGGAAACAGGCGGTCGTTCGGGGAGAGCTCATGTGTTGGTTGCTGGCTAATCACTTTCCATGGGCCTGATCTATCAGATCGCCGACAAGAACGAAGCTTTCGAAGGTTGAGACGAGAGTATAGTTTTCACGCCGTACGGTGAGCGGTAGGACTTGTGGAAAGACATAGGTACCGTTCTGAAAGAGTGGCTCCGCTCCCATAATCAAATCGTAGTATTGCAACTTCCGTACCACATCGATCCGTCCGACATTATGCAACGGGGGTTGCCTGGTTGTTAGTTGCGGGAAGACATGGAGTTGACAACTTTGCTGAATTAGCGGCGGAAGAAGCAAATGTTACCAGGCGATCAGAGATTCAGAGTGTTGGACGCCGGGAGGAGGGTTGCGCTGGCTCGGAAACGTTTCATGAGATCGTCGTTGGAGGCGATGGCTGCGAGCTCAGCCATCGCGAGAAGAAACTGACAAAGTTATTGAGCCCTTGTCTGCCCTCGCTCCCGCCTTTCGCGCATTCTCCCCTTTCCTTGCCCGCGGGGACCAGGTCACCTGCTCCGTCGGTGGTGGCCATGTTCCAGTCCGCACATTCTCTGTCCGAAGAAGGCCTGCGATGCCAAGTGTGCAAGACTGCGGCATCCGCGTCCACTTGCACGGAGTGGCTTTCCACCCCGTGTTCTACACTGGAGGCGGCTGGGGGGCAGGGACTGTACGGACCACCTCGGGGGTCTAAGGTCCACCTCGGGGGGGGGGGGGGGGGCTATCCTTTGCACGATTCGGTGTTTCACGAAGTTTCCCACATTTGGTGCTGTGTTCGGCGCGGAGCCCATGGGACCAAGCACGTTCGTTCGTTGGCCGATGCTTTTGACCCCTCCAAAGCCGTAAAGCAGCGGCGCGTGTGCATCGACAAATTTCGTCGCGGGCTTCGACCCAAGGCGGGTGTCGGCACTTAGCTTTTTTATATGGCTTTGGCCAGGGATCCGATACTCCGGTACTCCGCCTTTTCCATTCTCCTCCTCCTCCTCCTCCTCCTCCTCCTCCTTACCCTCCTCTTCACTCTTCTTCCTATCCTCATACACTTCCTCCTCTTCATCCTCCCCCTACCCTCCTGCTCTTCCTCCTTATTCTCCTCCTTCTGAGATTCCTCTTGTCCGCCCCGTCCTCACTCCTCCTTCTCCTCATCTTCCCCCTGATTATCGCCATCTCCATAATCTCTACAATCATTTACCGTCATATTCGTGATCACCACCAACATTTTCACCTCCACTCGCATGACCCTCATCAGCAGCAGCAACAACATCAACATCATCACGGTCATCGTCATCTTCATCATCGAGGGACCGCGTTTCACTGGCTTGGGCTTGAAAGCAAAAAGAGAGCTCCGATGCGCGAATTCCCCTCCTCCCAAACTGTGAGACCCCCCTCCCCCACCCCCCACCCGTTACCCCCCATCTCCCCACCCCCTAGGGAAAGGCGGGGGGCGAGGGGGGGGGCGAACCGAGGGACCCCCGCACTGTTGCACAGTGGGGGGGAGACCAGACGACGACGATTGCGACGTTGACTGCAACTACGGCGACGACGACGATGACGACGCAGCAGGCGGGACATTCCAGCGGGCGGGCGTGTCGGCCAGGCGGGACATCAAGGCGGGTGGGTCCATCGGGCGGGCGGGGCATTGAAATCGCAGGGCAGGCGGGACATTCAAGCGGCCTCGTCGGTCGGGCGAGTGGGACATGAGAACAAGCGAGCGGGCGAGACATTCAGGCAGGACGGGCGGGCGTCGTCGTCGTAGTCGTCGTGGTTTGCCATCGCTAGCGGGGGAAATCTGAAATCCCGTCCCCTCCAAGCGCGAATTGCTGGAAAAGGGGGGGGCGGCTTCTACCCGCACCACCACCCCTTGCACAGGGGTGGTCCCTGAACCCTCGGGAAGATCGAACCGCATCTTCACCCCATGCGAACCACGATTTACGCTCTGTCTCGTCATCAACGTCGCCGCCGCCGGCGCCAGCGTCGTCGTCGTCATCATCATCACCATCATCCTCCTCATCATCAGCGTCATCAGCATCATCGTCAGCATCATCATGATCGTCGTCGTCACTATCATCATCACAATCACCGCCGCCACCGCCACCACGACCACCATCAGCATCAGCGTCAGCATCAGCATCATCAACATCACCAGCAGCATCAGCAGCATCAGCATCACCAGCAGCAGCATAATCGTCAAGATACTCATCGTCGTTGCCGACCTCGTCATTATCACCCTCCTCGTCCGCTTCCTCCGCCTCATCAGCACCACGACCATCACCATGATCATCATCAGCACCATCATTATCATCATCAACATCACTGTCGTCGTCAGCACCATCATCACAAACAACAGCATCACCATCACCAGCATCACCATCGTCGTCGTCACCGTCACCATCGCCAACTTCAATGTCACCCTCAGCACCAGCATCATCAGGATCAGCATAATCATCACCAGCAGCAGCAAGAGTATCAGCATTCTAGCCAACATCATCGTCATCAGTGTTATCCGCACGGTCGTCCATAATCTTCACTAATCATGGACAACATCGTTATGATCAGCATCAGGATCAGCAACAACGTCACCCTTGTAGTCACCATCGTCGACATCAACAGTATCCTCATCGTCTGCCATAGCCGTCCAGAATCATCGACAACATCGTGCTGGGCATCATCATCAGTATTGTCATCATCATCGCCATCCCCAGAATCACCATCACGATCCTCTACATCATCGTCATCATCATTACCGCGGTCGCCATTTTCATCCGCAGCATCATCAGCAGCAGCAGCGACATCCTCATCCTCATCCTCTTCATCATCATCATCAGCATCATCGTTATCATCGTCACAATAATCACAACCATCACCATCCGAATCAGCATCAAAATCGTCGCCGCCATAGTCATTTCATCATCATCGTGACACGGTTCCTTATCAGCAGCACCACCACCAGCATCACCATCATCATCGTCATCATCATCATTATGACAGCACCGTCAGCATCATCATCAGCATCATCATCATCGTGATCGTCGTCGTCATCCGCATCCACATCATCATCGTCCGAATCATCATCATCATCATCATCATCATCATCATCATCATCATCATCACCATCGTCGTCGCCATCGTCATTTGCATTGTGATCGTTATCCTCAGTGTAGACGTCGTTGTCATCGTCGGCAGCATCATCGCCGGTGACGGGGACGGTGTCCGCAAGACTGTACACTCGAAAGGACACATTGGGGCAGGACCGGAACGACCGATAAAACAGCAAGTGCTGCGTGCTGCTGGCAAGGTTCGCGACTATCAGGCTCGCTCGTGATGCACACAAGAATGTTCAAACTCATTTAACAATGGCGTTGTGGCCACGTCGATCCACTCATCAGTCCCGGTGGCTACCATCTCCGCACGCTTGCGTATATCATCTGTCTAAGAAGACCTTCTCGCGCACCGTGTCGTACTTCTTGCTTCGACGCTGCTCTCGACGATGGCGAGCTTCGCGAACTCGTTCAGCAAACCGGGGGTATTCAAACCTGTCTTCCCTGCGCTTGCGGGTTTCGCGCACGTGTTCTGCAAACTGGGGGTCTCGAAGCCTATCTTCCCTGTGCCGGCGAGCTCGCTGGAGTAGTTCATCGCGCTGCGTGTTCATATTGTCCGGCGCTTTGGGCTCGAGGTCGTAGTCGTCGTCCGTCTTCTCCGCGTCGTTATTATCGTCCCTCTGCTCCGTCTCCATGTGATCGTTTCCTTGCTCCGTCCTCTCGCTTGGCGAATATCTGACGGCTTCGCTGTCCGCGTCGAGGCACTTGAACTCATCGGCGTTGGTCTCGGTGGCCTCGTCGAGCGCCGCGTCAAAGCCAAGCTTGACACGTATCCGGTTTTGTTGTAACTGTTGTGAGCTATGTTATTGCTCTGCGCTCCTTTCCATGTCTGGCTGGGTGAGATGCGCATTCCCGTGCCCCTTCCGCTTTACAGGCGATTGTCTTTCGGGTACTCGGTCTGGGATTGACATTGCCCGCATCTTCGCATCCAAGGCGTCGAAGCTGTCCAAGGCAGCATAAAAGAGTAGTGTGTCAACCCTCCCTACGCGGGTGTCGAGCTCAACCATGCCATCCTCATCGACAATACACTGGGCAATGCCCGATTGGTGCAATTCCTGAGGAGACGGACAGGCATTCGTCGATTTCATGCTTTCAGAGGCGGCTTCCATTTTATCAACGTTCTCGTGCAGAGCGAACAGCATGTCTGTGACCTTCTTCAAGCGGTCACCCACCGATGCCTCTTTGCGTCTTCTGCGGAGATGCCCTTGCTGTCTCGACCGCTGTGTCCTCTGCTCCAGTCGCGGGCATGCCACGGGCAGCCATGGCCGCCGCGGGCTCGCCTCGGACGAAAGCCGCCTCAAAAACATATCTAAGCCGTCACCTTGAGCCAGCAGCATCATTACCGTCGTCCGAAATCATCGTTACCAGCATCGTCAACATCATCGGCATATCAGCATCAGCAGCATCATCATCATCATCAGCAGCATCAGCATCCTCATTACTACCATTATCATCGTCAGCATCATCATCATCATCATCATCATCATCATCATCATCATCATCATCATCATCATCATCATCATCATCAGCACCAGCATCAGCATAATATGCATGTCCGCCATCATCATCAGCAGCATCATCATACTCCACATTGTTGCCATCGCCGTCAGTGTCGTTAACATGAGTACGCTCCTTCTGTTGATATTCATGCTCCGTATTCTCTCCATCATCGTTAGCCTCGTCCCTCTAACACTCGCTGCAGATGTCGCTGCTGCTCCTCATCCTTCTCCAAAGATTCCCTCTTCCTCCTCTCTCGCCCCCTCCTGCTCTTTCACCACTCCATCATGGCAGCACGGCCAGAGGAAACCCAAAGGGACATCAAACACTTCGACCCTCGATCGTCCTGCCTCTCCGCAACCTCGATGCTCCAAATTGTTCGATAATCTCTGAGCCCGAACGTCTTCCTCCTCCTCACCAATCCTTCTCTTCATCCTCCCTCCTCCTCCTCCTTCTCCTCGACCCTCGATCCTCCTCCCTCATTACTTCTCGATCCTCCTCCTACCCGATCCTCCTCGACATGAGCATCGCTGACCTCAAGGCCAGTGGGGGGGGGGTACGGCCCCTACGATACCCGAGCGGGCGGGAGGAGCTACGCACATAGAGCCCGCATCTGGGGCGCCGACAGCCCTGGAAGGAAGAGGTCAGCGGTGCGGAGCCGTTTGACGCGGAGGGCCCCGTGCATGTCCGCATGGCATGCCCGACTCTGGAAACCCTGAGGGCAACGGCGTGGACTTCAACAAATCCACATCCGTGCCTTCGCGGTCTGGACACCGAGGCGTGATGCCATAGATATGCAATACCACAAGTACATAGAAACTTTCCGCGCGGGACAACCGCGCAACGCCGGCAACGACGCCGCGGCCGTCTAATCCACCAGGTCGCGGATATGGGTTTCACGCACACGAGGACAAACCTTCCCTACCTTAGCGTGAACTAACATCCGTGTCTGAGAATGCAAGGCACTCTCACGCTCGTGTATGTTCTGTGCTAGCGTGATGCAAGCGTGCCGCTGCTGTTTCGCTCTCTGTATACCAACGGGGGGGCCCTTTGAGTACGGCTACAGTGCGACCACCTCGCATGTTCGATCAAAGAGCGCGAGGCTTTCATCTCATCAATCGGTGGCGCTGTGTGGCGGGGACGCTTGTCACAACGGTGCTGTTGCGGAAGAGTGTATTTCAGATTGGTGTGTGCGGAGCAGCGGTCCACGGCACCGCTACCAGTGCGTTGCTCAAGACGACACTGACGATCATCTCCCTGGCTTTCACCGCCCTCATCATGCCGCCGACGCTGTCCTTCGAGCAGGGTATCCCAGTGTACGATGGCACGCCGGAGTTGCTGGAAGAGCACCTAGACAGGATCGACACGCTGCGTGTCGGCGCGACGGAGGACGTAGGCAAGAAGACGGGGCCGCTAGGCCCGAGGCTCTACAATGCTCTGAGAGATCGAAGCGTGTACTGCGGTCAAGGCCGCGACCATCGACTAGGTGGACCTGGGCACGCACTCAGGCAATCGTGATGGCGCTGAAGGCGGCCATCCAAGGGATCGGTCCGAATCGTGTGGGCAAGCTCTTCGACAGGTATTTCGACAGTTCGAGCCGACGCAGTGCGGAGGCAGTGGGTTCGTGGCTGACGAAGCAAAGCAAGATTCAACAGGAGTTCTTGGGCGCCGACAGGACGACGCAGTCGAGTGATGATATCGAGGCCTTTTTCCTATTGAAGCTGAGTGGTTTGACCAAGGCCCATCGATCCAAATTGCCGGCGAGTTGCGGCAACGTCTACAACCCGAAGAAGCTGACTGAGGCCATCAGAGTGCAGTTCGCAGATCTACACAAGGCGGAGGGACGCCCGCGACACGGACACGATCGCCGAGAAGGAAAGCACGAGAGAAGGTACGCCTACCTCGCCGACAGACATGATGAAGATGAAGCAGAGCCAGAGCCAGATGACGAACATGGAGACGACGGTGACTACGGCGAAGGGATGACGGATATCGAGGACGAGTTGAACAAGCCACAGGAAGGAGTCGAAACGGGCGACGAAGACGCAGAAGAGCAGCTGGCGGCGCTCAGCGAGTGCCTCGTTGCGGAGCAGGCTACGTATATCGCCCGGAGGGACCTGCGTGAGCTGAAAGACCACGCCCGAAGGTCCAGCCGACCCGTGAAGTTGATGAACAACAAGCAGGAAACGGCGGAAGACAGGAAGAAGCGGATCGAGGAGTCGAAGAAAAAGACCCGATGCCGAGTATGCGGAGCGCTCGGTCACTGGGCAGGAGATCCTGGCTGCGCCGAGTCGGATCGTTCGCTACCGCCGCGTGGAGACCGAGGTCGATTCCAGCAACGTGGAGGCAAGGGCGGTGGCGGAAAAAGTAAAGGACGAAGTGGCGGAAGGACTCAGAAGAGCTTCTTCGCCGTCAGGGACGACACGGACGACGACGCCGAGGAGGCGTGCTTCGTGGCCAGCGTGGAGCAGGACAAGGACAAGGACAAGAAGCGCTCCATGTCGTCGGAGCACCACTGGATGGTGGACCAACCGCCTGGGCAGAGCGTGCTTGGTCCAATACTGGCGTCATCAACGGCAGCGGCAGCAGTGCCGGTATCCCCGACACCGAGCCCGAGAAGGAACTACACGGACGGCAAGGGCATGGCCAACGTCGAGGCGCCGTGGGAGAGCAGCGGGCGCCAGTCGGACACAGAGCTCCTCAAGAGGTGCGGCAAGCCCTGCAGTGTAGCGGATTGCGCAAGTGAAGGTTTCGGTGCATGTGTCGGCCGAGAGGGCCACACTCGGAGCTGTCGGTGCTGTCCCGATGCGACAGCCGCGGCGACGTCCAGTGGAGCGAGCGGCAGTGGATCGCAAGCAAGCAGAGCGTGGATTGCAAGTGAAGGGGGAAAGACTACCCACATACGAGCCGGAGGAGTATGCATTTCGGTCCAAGATGACCGCCAAGCGCCAGTGACTCCAAATACAAGCGCGCCTGGGACGTCGAAGACGGGTGGCAGGTGTTACGTGGCAGAAGGTGAGATCAGGCTGTAGCTCGTCAAGCAGAAGTGGCCGCCTGACGATCCCAGACGATGCCGACGACGCCCCGACGGCGGGATGGTGCAATGTTGCAGGAACCAGTATGCCATAGTGTGGAAGTGTGACTGCGGCGCGCGAACAGCAGAGAGGTACTTTCCGACGAGCAAGAAGTACCATCACGGACAGAATTGTTTCAATTACATGTCGATCGCGGAGTCCGGGGAGCAGGAGTTCGAAGAGTTCGCGGCCGTGGCTGGTGTCATTGACGACCAGAGTGAGTGTGATGACGACGAGGTCGCTCGTTTGGACACGATGTGTACAAGTACCATGCACGGCGACCAGTGGCTGGAGCGGTACTCGGCGAAGCTGAACGAGAAGTATGGGTTGTGCATGGAGTCTCACCCATGCAAGGTAAAGTACCGATTTGGCGGAGGAGAGCGCAAAGAGGCGAAGTTCAGAGATGTACTACCGATCGGCATCGGTGGAGAGAATGGCGAGATCAGTTCGAATCGAATCCCAGGGTCGCCCACGAAGATGCTGCTGTCGCTCAAGACGCAGAAGGCGTTGGGCATGGTCATCGACCTCGTCGAGGGGACGGCGGACTTCAAGAAGCTCGGCCTCAGTGGAGTGAAGCTTCGAAGGACGAGTGAGGGTGCTGGTGCGTAAAGATCACTGACTTTGCCAACCTGGGTTTTGACCAACCAGAGCGGTTGGAGAAGGAGACCGTCACGAAACTGAGTTCGTGGTGGTTTACGAGGCCGTGGAGGACGTTGAGAGGAATGCACCAGTGGGCAATCTGCCCATCCACGAGGTGCCTCGACGGACCACGACAGCAGGCAAGGGCAAGAGCATCCGACAGGACCAAACGGAGATGTTCGGTGACGAGGAGAGTGCTTGGGCGGCTGCACGCGGTGATCGGCGAGGACGATGGCCCAAGGAACGTGTGATCAGGGAGGCGCGGAGTTGCCTCAGGCCTGGCCAGACCCTCGTCAAGGACCTGTTCTGTGGGATGCTGGGAGCCACGTGGTATGCCGCCACGGTCATGGAGATATGCCCGTGACTCAGCAGGACGACCTCCTGGACGGTTTCGACTACTTCGACCCGTCGAACCAAGAGCGGGTGTTCGAGCAGCTGGACCGTGACGACTCGTGGATGACGATCGTCTCGTGGTCATGTGGACCGTGGGGCGGCTGGTCCCGCTTCCAGATCGCGCGTGGAGGTTCACTCGCAGCACGTGTGGAGGAGAAGCGGGAGAAGGCGCGGCCGTTGTTGGAGTTCAGTGCGAGGGTCGTCAAGCACTGCTTGGAACGTGGGAGGCTTGTGTTGCTGGAGAACCCGTGGGCGAGCGACGCCTGGGAAGACCCCGCGCTGGAGGAAATGCTGATGGACCTGGAGACGTCCGGAGAGAGACGTGCCAGTGGAACCTCAGGGACACCGAGAGCGGACGGCCCTACCTGAAGCCAAGTGGGTTTGGGGTGAACAAGGGCGCGCTCGCGGAGAGGCTCATGCGGAGGTGTGATGCACGACATCGACGCGAAATAATTAGGGGCACAATGCAAACGGAGCTCGGAGTGAGAAAGCAGGACGGTACCCGTTGGAGCTGGTAGAGGACATCTTGCTGGGCGCGTGCGAGGAGCTACTCGAGAGGCACTACGAGCAGCTCGCATTTTCCGCGGAGGTCCAGGAGCTCCACGACGAAGCCCGCAGGAGGCCGATGCGTGGGGGCTCCGCCAGTGTCGACGCGGCCCACGAGTACACCGAAGAGTCTGGGAGCTACATCCTCGTGACTCAAAATGCGTGGATGGACACCAAGTTCGACCCGAGGTGTCTCTCCCATGAGACGCAAGTACGACTGACAGGAGATCGCGAGACTGTGGGCATCGACGACAACGGACAGAGCATCCACGAGCAGGATGACTGGAAGATCAACCCTGCTTTGCCTATGTCGCGCCGGCACGGCAAAACCATTTAGCGCTGTGCGCCGAACGAGTCTGGCGAGGACGAGTAGCCAACAGCAACCCTTCCAAGGGGGCCTACCCCGCCAGACGTCGGCGCGATGCCAGCGCCGCCACCCGCTCCACCACACGACGAACCACGACGACCTAAAGATGAAGAATCACGCAAGGCCTGGAAGGCAGTGGATGCAGGCCTACGGAGGGCACTACTACACCTACATACGACAGCAGGGCACCCGTCGACCGAGGCGCTCCAGAGGCTGCGACGGCACGGTCGAGCCACACCCAAGGCCGTCAAGGCGGCTGGGCATTTGTGGTGCAGCGTGTGTGCCAGTCTGGTGGGACCAACTACGTCGAGACCTACCGAGCTGCTGGTGACGCCGTACGAGTTCAATTATCTCATCGAGATCGATGTCCTCGATGAGTACCCGGCCACCGGCATTCGAGTCTCGTCCCTCAACATGGTGTGCGACGGGACAGGGTCCCAGCAAGTAACGCCGTTACGCTATGGTGGAGGGATTGCTACAGGCAAGGAGATATTTGAGGCGCTCATGTCCAGGTGGGTGTCGTGGGCAGGCACGCCCTATCGATTTTTCATGGATCAGGCCCGTAACAACATGGCCTACGTCAGGGAGCAGCTGATCGCACGCGGGGTGCACTGCGAGCTCACCAACGTGGAGCAGCACCACCACCTCGGGCGATGTGAGCGAGCTGGCGGTGTCTGGAAGGAGCTCTGGAGACGTGTGTGCTACGATCAGCAGCTCACCACCGAGGGCGACGTGGAGATCGGCGCGGCAGAGACGAACAAGGCGGAGAACTCCACGATGCGGAGAGGTGGCTTTGCTCCAGTGCAGTGGGTTCTCGGTCGTGACGTGCGGATTCCAGGCAGTCTGGTTGATCCTGTGGAGGCGAGTCGTCTAGAGACGCATGAGGCCATCCTGACACCTGGGAGCGTGATGGCCAAGCAGGTGGCGCTGAGAGATGCGGCGCGCAAGGCGTATATCGAGGTGGACAGCGACGACCGCATGAGGCGAGCGATGTTGGCTCACAGTCGACCGATGAGAGGACCGTGGCCGCCAGGAAGCCTCGTGCATTTCTACCGGAAGCAGCGACCAGCTAAGAATCAGCACCCAGCAGTTGGTCGCTGGCACGGCATATGCAGAGTAATTGGTCAGGACGTTCCAAGCGGAGATGCTGGGCGGCCTCAGGGCCACAGCATATGGTTGAACTACCAGGGACAGCAAATCCTCCCGGCTCCAGAGCAGCTACGCTGGGCGACGCCTGAGGAGATCCTCGCCTGGAATATCTCAGGAGACGTGGCGAATGAGGTCGGCGCCGAGCATCGGACAAGGGTCACCTACGCAGACGTACGGTGGAGGCCGACTTTCCCCGAGGAGACCAAGGAGAGCGAGGAGCAGGCAGACGCCGAGAATAAGCAGTCGGAGAAGTCGGACACGCCGATCATGGTGGTACCCGTGCCCGAGCCGGAGCCGACGACGTTGGAGAATGACCACAACAACGAGCTCGAGGAAAAGCAGCCGAGCGGAAAGGAAGATCCAGACGCCAACGCGACTGACAACAAGGGCCCCATGGTGGACACAGAGGGCGAGAGCTCGACCGGTGAGGGCAAGATGCGTCCTCCATTGCTGGGCGAGGTCGACGGTCAGAAGAGGCAGATTTCGTTCGATGCGGACACGTACTGGTTGGCGCGACGTCGGCATTTACAAGCACGGCACCAAGAAGAATTGGAGGCCAAGACGGCGATCATCGCGGAGGGCCGGAATTGCGAGGCGGGCGACCGACTGTGGACCCTTCTCTTGACCGAGCGCAGCGAACAGATCGAGAAGGCGGATGCGGCGAAGGCTGAAGGGATGCCCGTCAGCAAGACTCTGGAGAAGCAGCTCGGGAGATGCAAGGGGAAGCCTGGACGACGTGAGCTCAAGGAGCGAGAGATCCCGAAGCACTTGAAGGAGGCGCTCGATGAGGCCAAGAAGAAGGAATGGAGTAGTTGGTGTCACTACGATACGGTCGAGATCCTCACCGCGAAGCAGGTCCGTGAATTGCCATGGCATGCGCAGGCTGTACCAACACGATTCGCACTCACGGACAAGAACGAAGCGATGTGGACGGACGAGAACAACCTCCCCGTCAAGCTGAAGGCGAGACTGGTGGCGAGATGCGCCAACTGGGAGCCTTCTGGCCCAGCATATGATACTGGCCTGGGCGGCATCTGGTGGAGGACATCGTGATGGGCCAGCTCGCGTGGTACGCAAGATGAATGCGAAAAACGCCTACCTGCAGGGGGACGTCATAGATCCCGAACTGTACCTGAGGCCACCGTCTGGTGGCATACCCGGAGTTTCCCTTCCTGAAGGATCGCTGCTGCGTGCAAACGTCCCGATCTACGGCACGGACGACGCTGCGCGTGGGTGGTGGAAGAAGGCGTATAAGAGTCTTCTCACCAGCAACTGGAAGATGAGCACCCTGGAGCCGGCGCTGTTCTACCTGTGGCATGAGGGGGAGCTGGTCGGCATGTGCACGACGCACGTTGACGACATCTTGATGGCGTGCTACGGCAAGCCCTACGAGGAGAGCCTCAAGAACCTCAAGAGCCTGGTGGACTTTGATCAGGACGAGGTGCCGAAGTTCCAGCACTGCGGCAAGACGATCGAGCAGAGCAGCGACGGGACCGTGGAAATTGGGCAGAAGGAGTGCGCCAAGAACATCACCCAGATCCATGTCGAACCGAGCAGGAAGCGACAGCGGGATGCCGCATGTACTCCAGCTGAGATTTCCATGCTACGTGGGCGTTAAGGGAGTCTATCATGGTTGCAGCGACAGACAAGGCCTGATCTATCTTTTGCGAGTTCGACTGGACAGTCAGCTTTCGCGTCACCAACGGTCAACAACATGCTCGAGTGTAACAAGGCAGTGAAGCAGGCACGCGAGTTTGCGGATCGGAAGGTCGTGTTTCGCGGAGGTTTTGTGGACTGGCAGAGTGCACACGTGTTCGTGAGCACGGACTCGGCGCACGCAAATATCCAGGACGTCGTGCTGCAGTACGGCGAGGACGGCGAGGCCACGGGCCTCAAGGCGGAGCCTTTTCGTAGCCAGCAAGGGCGAGTGGTCGGGCTGATGACACCACTGGACGAGAACGGCAACACGAAGATGTGCGCCACGGAGTGGAAGAGTCAGGTCGAGAAGCGCGTTTGCCAGAGCACTCTGGCGGCGGAGACGTATGCGCTGGCGAAGGGCACCGAGATGGCGGATTGGCTCAGGCCGGTGTTGCTCGAGAGTCGTGATCCAGAGTTCCACATTGCCGAGTGAGAGAGTCGGACGAAGGAGATCCACGCACTGTGGATGTGCGATGCCAAGTGCGTGGTGGACCACCTGAGCAAGGACGTAGGCACACCCCAGGACAAGCGTGTGGGCATCGAGCTTGCAGCGCTGAAGCAGCTACTGGCGAGGGGTGGAGATGAGCTACGTTGGGTGGACACCAACGTGATGCTGGCAGACCCTCTGACTAAGGGAGATGCGCTGGACGACCAGGTCCTCCAACGGGTGTTGTATAGCAACGAGTACAACATCAACGCCAGCACGGAGATGAAGGAGTTCAAAGACCGTAAGGCGATGATGAGACCGGACTTGAAGGTAAGGCGCAAGGCAGACTCAGTTGGAGTCGAGACGAAGCAGCATGCGGGCTCAGGAGGAAGCTACGTGAGTGAGAGGTTTATTCGGATTTCGTTTCTTGCGTTAATGTCATATTTTCTCGCGCCAGTTGGGCGATGAGTTTAGTATGTCTCGCACCAGCTGGGCGTTGAGTTTCGTATGTGGCAGAACCCATCGGTTCGTGCCTTTCCGTGTTGCGTTGGTTGAGGCCTTTTCTTTATTTAAGAGGGGTGTGAACTAACATCCGTGTCTAAGAATGCAAGGCCCTCTCACGCTCGTGTATGCTCTGTGCTAGCGTGATGCAAACGCGCCGCTGCTGTTTCGCTCTCTGTATGCCCACAGGGGGGGACCCTTTGAGTACTGCTACAGTGCGACCGCCTCGCATGTTCGATCAAAGAGCGCGAGGCTTTCATCTCATCAATCGGTGGCGCTGTGTGGCGGGGACGCTTGTCACAACGGTGCTGTTGCGGAAGAATGTATTTCACACTTAGTTTTTGAAGCACTACGCTGGATGTCATTAGTGGACGCCCCATGGGAGGACAATTTGAAACCACCGAGGTCTGCGCTTGCTACACTCTGTGCAAACTACGAGTGGCCCTGCAGAGACACGAGAGACGAGCGAAGGTCACCGAACAAGCAACCCACTTTGCAAGTCAGGTTCACTATCCTTCCTTGCCACCAGCGCCCGCCAACAAAACTACCAATTCTTTGCATCCGCCCGCGTCCGCGGGCCCCTAGCAACCCTCTGGAGAACTCTCATGCAGCCTATGCTGTATTCTGTCAGGGGGCGGCAGCGCGCCGACGTCCAACGTCATCTAACACCGTTCAAGGTCTGGGCACTGACCCTTCGATCCTTCAACACCGCGATAAATGCATTGAACGCCTTGATCGACATCCCTTGCTGTGCTTGAGCTGAAGTGGAAGTCGAGATTGCCGCGGCGCGGAGACCATGATGCCTGTGCGCCCATCGCCAGCAGCAGCAGCAGCAGCATCTTCAACACCAGCGTCATGACATTCGTCATCGTCAGCGTTGACGTCGTCACCATCATCGTCGTCGAAATCGTGGCCATCATGACCGACATCGTCGTCCTCAGCGCGGACCCCATTACCGGAGCCAGCATAACAGTCATCGTTCTGCAAATTTGCCGTCATCTCCATCGCCATTAAAATAACGATCGGGCGTGTGACGAAGACAATGCCAGACGCAAGCCTCCGGGTAGCTCTCCGGCACGTCCACCGGAAGAAAACCCGTCACCAGCCCGCGACCAGGCATGGTTCCGCTCCTCCACCTCCTCCTGGCGCTTCTCGTCCTCCTCCTCGTCATCCAAGACCTCTCCTCCTCCTCCTCCTCCTCCTCCTCCTTCTCCTCCTCCTCCTCCTCTTTTTCTTCTTGTTCGTCCTTCTCCTCCTCCTCCTCCTGTTCCTCCTCCTCCTCCTTCTCCTCCTCCTCATTCATTCATTCATTCATTCACTCATCGGTTCGTTCATTCATTCATTCATTCATTCATTCATTCATTAATTCATTCATTCATTCATTCATTCATTATTTCGTTCACTCGTTCACTCACTCATTCATTCTCATTCGCCACCACTTAGAAGCCGCCACGGAGCTAAACAATCTGTCATCTAGCCAGATTTCTAGTTTTGCCCTGGTTGGGCCGAAAATAGCTGCACTACACCCGAACACGGCGCACCCCGAACTGTCGGTCCTGATCCTGAGCCGCGAAGATGCCCCAGGCGATGCGATCAATGAAAAACTCTCGATCGACCTGATCATCATAAACCCTGCGAGCTACTCGAAGCACTCGCAGGTGCTGTCACAGGAGGAGAAAAAGCGCCGACTGCATCGTGGCAGCGAAGCAAGCGACTGATGCCAGCGTGATATATGCGCCTAAAAGCTATTTTAACAGGACCCCCATCGCACCCCCCCCTCGCAGACCTCCGCGCGCCCAATCAGGCGGCGCCCACTTGGGACATTCGCGGCGAATAGCAGCGCCATTCGCGCCCCTTCCCCCCCCACCACCCCAACGTGCACATCGCCATGGTGGCCCTCTCCCCCGCGCAATCAAGTTGGTCGATCCCCCCCCCGGCATCCTCTCGGCCCGCGCCGCGCGCCACTGCGCAGGTGCCCGCCGCGAACGCCTGCGCTCAATCAACAAGCGCCCTAGTATAACCAACCTCTCGGTTGGCCCCTGAAACTCCCGCGCGAACCCAATCCCCGCCGCGGATCGCCCCCTCCCCCCATTTATCCATGCCGGGCGGAGGAAAAGAGAGGGAGAGAGAGAGAGCGAGAAAAACAAAACATAAACCAACAACAAAAAAAGGCGCGGCCCCCCCCTGTGGAACACTCCGCGTCGGCCACGCCCGCCAGAGTGCACATCTCCGAAGAGCTGCAACCCCAGTCCTCGGCCGCCACATAGGTCGCCTCGGCGCGTTCACGCCGCTGCCGTTGTTCTAGCTGAATCTCAGCCTGGACCTCCTCAAGCGCCCGCGGGCGCGCAGAGCATCCCCCTTCACGCGCTTCCCATTTGCAGCGCCCACTGCGTCGCCGTCGCCGATGACCCAGGCACTGATGCATATCGCCTTTATCTTGGGCCACGCCGCTGTCCAGCAATAACCCTGGGCAGCTGGCAAGCCTGGTCTCCGTCGCGATTGGCCGGCGCCTCCCTGAGCTCAAGACACATCCTGTCGCCCACGTCCATCAAATACTTTTGCGCGTGATTACTCAGCCGTTGCCCAAGATACATAATTATATTGCATACTCCAAGGGGCGCTGGCTCCTCCACGTCTGCGCGCCGTTCCTGTCGCAGCCACCGCCGCACGGGAAGTAGCCGTCTGAGTTCAGCTGCATTTTCTGCCCGCTCTGGCGACTGAAGTGGGCTGTGTGGAAATCCGCATAGCGGACTGTCGCTAACCAACTGAATGAATAACTTGTTCAATATATCAATGTTCTCGTTTTGCGTGGGCGTCACAACCTCATTGTCCACTGCAGAGGCCCGGCTCTCAACTGCCGGGACGAACTCTTGCGATATCCCTCCTGAGCGCTGCGACGCATGGACTCACGATTGGAACGCTCCTCTCGCAAGACCTTCGGCTTCGGCGGTGTGTCGAGCATGATGGACATCTGGATCGGGCGGTGATCTCGTGCTGTTACTGTGTTATGCAACTACGGCCTGCGGCCTGACCATGCCAGCACATCACATCGTTCCACTGCACACCCAGCTAAGCGACGTATCAAAATATGATCAGGGTCTGATTCACCACGCGGTCCATAAGATGTGCCTGAATTGAGTAAGTGAGACTTGGCGTCGGTAAAATTTCACCCAGACAAGAGCGGTCGCAACACTGTAGTCGACGGCGCGGCCGTGCCTCTGGCGTGTGG